CTTTTCCATTTATTTATTGGGTAAGCTGTAGTAATGTAAATTGTTCGGAGTGAGCAGCAAAACCTCGAAATGAATAAAGGAGGGGTGAAATGTCAGAATATATGAGAAAAACCTTTCTTGGTGAGAGAAGACATGTACAAATATATATTACATACAATTTATACCCATGTATAAGCCGACTTCATGTTGTTCAACCCCTGAATTTTAACCCCTCTGGAAAAAAAAATGACCTGTATCTAGTGCAACTCATCACCAAAAATGTGTGATTTTTAACCTCTTCAAAAAAAAAAAAAAAAAAATACCTATATATAGTGTGACTCCTCACCCCTATTTTTTTTGCATAAAAAAACTCACACTATACTAGAGTATATAGGGTTTTTTTTTTTTTTTTTTTTTTTTTTTTATCCTGTAAAGTGTTGAAATAACTTGTATGTGAACAAATCATTTTTTTTCCTTAACCAACATCAGAAGTGACAAATAAAGCAGAAACATGTGCAGTGATATTATAAATTTTTTTTTTTTTTTTTTTTTTATTGTGTACTTCTGAGGATCCGGAGTTAGACAAAGCAAATGCGCCCATCCTGTTTGTAAGTAGGGGAAATCCTACATTTTAAAATACCCAATAAGGAAATAAGTTTATCACTTTGAATAAAACTCGATGTTCTGCATATTTTGTTAAGAGAACTTTTTAACTTCTTGAAATGTTTAATTTCCTTTTCTCTGATTTAAGAGTTTAAATTTTAAAAATTAAACTCTTTTATATCAAATATTTTTTTTTGTTTTGGTTGACTGTTATTCAGCACATACACATCACAAATAAACTGTTTGGACGCATCTCTTGATATTAAATGTTTTTCTTTTGTTTGAGAACAGCTGACAATTCCTCTGTTTATATGTCTTCTTGCTTTGTTTTCAAATAAATTCACTGTCACTTGATGAAGCCAGTAAGAGCAAGCAATGATTGAACTTGAAGAGATATTTCTCAGATGATTTTATTCTCCTCAGGTTTAAGGGTAGCCTGTCATGAATCCAATCCTTCTTACTCCTGTTAGAACCGTGTTTCTCAACCTTTTTAAGCAAATGAAGATATCACTGCACACTTAGCGAAAATTTTAAAGGGTACACATTTAAATGTTATGAAATGAAACCAGAATTTTTTTTAAAATACATACACAAATATTAACTTATTTCATGTCAATGTTTCTATTCAGCTATTTGTGCAGCTTGTTTTGTGGGGAAACCTGTGCCTGTGTATTTTTTTTTTTTTTTTTCAATGTTTGATCAAATGTGCGATAAATAGACCCTCATTTCTTCTTCAATTGAGTGTAGTCTTTCTCACTTCTTATTTTTGATGTTTATTTGGGGCTGAGAAGCCTAATTCACATAAATAAGAAGTAGAAAATTGCAATGAAAGTGATAAAACCTTTTTAGTTAATGTGGGATAAAAAAGTTATTCATTTATTTAAATACTAATGCTGTACCATTACTACTTACACACACACACACACACGTGACCATGACATAATTTTTTGGCATTTGAAAATCAATGTGTTAGAGGAACCCCCTCCTTGATTGAACATGTCTTCAGGAGTGTAGACATACTCACAATGCTTGGCCAATTGCAGGTTGGTGAGGCTACTTTACCTATAGTTGGAGATTTTGTATTTAGAGTTGTTCTTCTCCTAGACTGGCTGCTACTCAAGGCTATAGATCTTTGTCCTGTTATTTAACCCACAGTGGGGGGGAAGAGATGAATTCCTAACTTTCCCAAAGGTATTTACACATAAGTGAATGTAAGGAACTTGACAGGAAATCAAAATCTACTTTGCAGTTCTTAAATTCTGCTTCCCAAATGACAACCCAACAAAAATATTTAATTTTCAATTGATGCAAACAAATTAAAATTAATTTGGATTCCATTGTTTTATTGTCTGTTGTATACTTAAAAAACTGTTTTCACAAACAAAACAAATTAAACTCAAAATTATTGTAAGGTTTGATTTGAACAAATTGATTTTTATTTTTCTTGCAACTGTAATATTTTGACAATTTGTCTCAACAAAGCAGCAGTTACTATAACAGTCTTCTTCATTTGAATCCTTAAAAATATATATATAGACAATTGAATATATATGACTAAAATAATTTTCAATGTTAACTTAATTCTCATGAAAAGATTTCTATTTTAAATAACCCAACCTGAATTGATTGGTCAGATTTGATTGGTGGATTGTCTGATATATGTTCATGTGACAGACTCTGGAAGTAGACACACCCAACAATCAGCCAATAGACTTGGGGAATAAACCAGACAACATGTTCAGTTGATAGACTTGGGCAATAAACCTGATCAGTGTTCACCCGATAGACTCTAGTATAATAAAAAGCAGATTTCTGTGTTAAATAACCCAACAAAAGTTTATATATCTGTCTATATTTCTGAGATGAGGTATTGTAATTATTTACACTATTCACATGTTGCTTGAATCCAGTGACTTGACCCAAAGAGTTGTGAGTTCAATACCTGGCTACAGCACAGATGAACAAAAACTTGGAGATTTGATTTAAAAGGGAGATAACTGCTACTGAGACATCCGGAAGAGGCATGGCATGTGGAACTAGAACAATCTACCTCAGTGGACAAAGGGTTCAGTTTGAAATTCCAATCACCTGAAGAAGGCTGGAGTGTACAACGGTCAAAACGTGAATATGACAACAAAGATGAGGACAACAATCTGGACAATGTAAATAGTGCAGATAAAGAGTTATGTCATACAATTGTTATTGTAATAATGTGTTAAAGTTAAACTCAGATATTTAATGATACAATTGGGGAACGTCCACAGGTATTTTATAGTTGGAGAACTGGCAAGAACCTTATTCAGTCATTAACTCTAGAATTGCAATTCATCAGAAAATTCAAATCAGAAAACCCAACCCATATAAAATATAGAATAGGCCATAAGAAAAAAGACCTGAATTTAAATGCTAATCAGGAAGTGAATGAGGAATTTAGAGAGGTTGTTAGTAATGGGGTTATTTTAACATTTGACAGGTGTGCTAGTGTTATGGGAACTTACCTATAATGATAATGGACTCTTCCTGACACTATAAACACTGCGCCTCTCAAGAGGTATAATGAATGAATGGTGTAATGAGTCGAGACAATATTAGTTCACTCTAAACCAGACGGACAGTCATTACTAACACCTTCAACTTCTTGTACTATATTTCTGTTGTAATATATCTTTGTTATTCTACTCTTGTGTTCGTGTTGTTCTTCCTTTGTTCTAACCTTGGACCATAACTGTGGTGCAAGGATATTGGACCATAACAACTAGTGAAAAGGGTGTTTTTTTTTTTGTTTTTTTTATATAAATATTATTGAATATTCAAGCCAGTTTCTATTGCCAGAATCAACAGTATCAGGCTGTAGGTGGCTTTTTATTGTGATCAAGTTCAGTTTTAGTTGAGCACAGGACTAAATGTTGGATAAGAGGATTGTTTCTGTTTGAAGTTCCTAAATAAGGAATCGTCATATTATAATTATGCTTGTTCTTCAGTTAGCATAACTGCTACGCTCTGCCAATACCTCATAAATAATGGACTATTCCATTTTGATTGCGCAGAAAGCAGGAAAAGACATATCAGAGAGGCTGTTTGGTTTCAGTGAGGAAAAGAAATGAAGAAACACCTTGACAATATGTTGTAGCATACCTACGAATGATAATGGCTATGTCCCCATTCACATAAATAAGGTAGTAAATCTGCAGTTGGAGATTCGTCTCCAGCTGTGTTGGTCAAACTCTCAGGATATCCTCTCTGTCTGGAGGCAATGTCGAAGAGCAGAGTCTCATCTGGGGAGGAAGACAGCTACCTGACTCCATGTATACGGGGTCTGTGGGGAATTTTTGTCTGAGCCTATTGGCTCGGTTCGCTCCACATTAAATTTGGCCTTGTGCCACATCTGACCTCGTGGGGAGGTTAGTGAATATCTTCATTGTGAAATACACTTCTAGCAGTTGACTACTTGCATCGTTGGTGAATCTTATATGTGTTGTTTTTGTCCTAAGTATTATCATTCATTACCAACCTTCGTTTATTTATTCTATTCAGTAACGTTCCCTAAGTTACAACACAATACCTCATAAATAATGAACTATTCCATTTTGATCGTGCAGAAAGCTGGAAAAGGCATATCGGAGATGTTTGTTTTCAGTATGTAAAGAAAGCAAACTTGATAATGTTCTGTGCGTCGGGATATCTTGTGTATGTTAAGTGCCATTTTTCTTAAATTAGTGTATAAGATTATGTAGGGCCAGTCTATAATCTAAGAAGTGTCTGACTGTTTTTGAAATCAGCATTTAAAAAGTCCTGGGTAATGTTAGCCATGCTCACTATTTATATTATTCGGACTATTGTCTGCATCTTTGTCGCCATATTTATTACAACGTTTCGGCAGTTGTACGCTCCGGCCTTCTTCAGGTGGTTGGAATGTTGAACTGAACCCTTTATTTCATTCACTGGGGTAGACTGTTCTAGTTCCACGTGCCATCTTTAATAGATGTCAGTTTTCTCCTGTTAATTCCCCTCTCCAAGTTCTCCACTGCCTTAACCGGGTATTGAACTCACACTCTTTGTGTCCTGTCACTGGATCTAACTAATGCCTTTATCCACTGTGCCATGTGTCCCGACAACTGACATTCATTAAACATGTCCTTGAGGACACATGGCACAGTGGATAAAGGCATTGAACTAGAAAAGTCTACCCCAGTGAGCGAAATAAAGGGTTCAATTTGACATTCCACCCACCTGAAGAAGGCTGGAACATACAACGGCTGAAACGTAATAAATATGGTGACAAAAATGAGGACAATGGTTCAAATAATGTAAATAGTGTACATAATACCTCATCTCAGAAATATAGACAGATAGCCATGCTCTATTTATATCTTTGATGTTAAACTCTGAGTGTATTTATTTTGTTCTTTATTTTCCAGACCCCATTTTGGATGCCTTCATTAAAGGAGACAAACAGTTACTTGTCGAGAGCAATGGAACATTTATTGTTACCTATGTGGGAAGGTGAGTCTCTTCACTTTGAAACTTTTCAATTCTTGTTTCTAATCAAAATTGTTCCTCTTAAAATGTAAGGCTATAGGTAACCATGCTATAGAAAAAAACGTTTCCTCTCAAAATCCAATTGGTTGGGTTTTATGGCATATAAACCACTGTAGGTCATTTAATGCCAAATTTAGTTTTTATATATATATATATATATATATATATATATATATATATATATAGTACTAGTAAATGTATAGCTGGCAACATTATTTTTGGACGGAGTTTATTGCCATACCCAAGACGTGGATATATGATGGGAAAAACTGGGAGTTCACTATAGCTGGGACCCTAACAGGTGCTACCACCCCAGGTCAGGGTGGACCTGGGAACACCAGCAATTAGGAGGTGGTTCCATGCTTCCTCAAAACCTCCTGATCAGAGGCCTTGCTGTTGGATGTAGTTTATCGTCTTACCCAGGACGAAAATCCAATTGATGGCCATAGACAGAAATAGACTGCACAAAATGCCCATTGATGTACAGGAACCACAAAAAAGATTCTATGAACACCTCAGAAATATTCTGCATAACAACAATCTAAATGCACTGGTTGTTCACCGTAACACGTCTGAACATAGTTTTGACTTAAAAAAATGCCAGTCTGATCAGAAGAGAACGAGATTCACTGAGAAGGAAATTCATTGTGAGTGCGGTAATCTTGCAACTCTCAATAGTGAATCAAAGACCAGCACTATACGTTATATTACCAATCATCGCAAGGATAATAAAAGCACAATGTGGTATATGAGCTAGTAGAGAAAAAAGGCAAAGATCTACTTTCAGTTGGGTGATTTAAAAACCTACGAACACCAATGGCTCTAATATGTGAACAAATGAGCAAACAATGTGACCTGTAATGTCAGAGGTAAAATAGTGTATCCCATACACTAATAAAAAAAACCAGCTCTAATATATATATATAAATAAAAGTCAACATTCAGAGACGACAGGCTGTTTCATGCTGGACACAATCGTCAAGCGATCCACAAAATTTTACAATTTGCAATTTCTATTAATCCTACTGATTTTTTTTATTTTTAATTTTGTTATTTTGTTTTTGTTTTTTTTTTTTATTTTAGTGCTCCTTTTAGTTTTTGTTGGAGAGTCGAGCCATCGGATTACTCTGAGGACTGGACTTGTATGTACAATCTATCCAACACAGTTGGTAATGTCATGGGGAGTGCAGTCTTCTCTGTCCAAGCCAATAGACAAAGTGGTCAGCAGAAAATCATTGCAAACTTGACAAATGATGTCAGCAAAAAAGTTCTCACTTTTCAATTCCGAGTTTTCCCTACAGGTGAGTTCTTCATTTGACCAAAGAGATAAATTCAAAGGGAGTTAATTTTGAAATCTCTACCCCCCCTCCTCTACACACACACACACCACTCCTTTTATTTTCTTCTTCCTTCTAAAATAATAGATTAATTTGTATAGCAGACTATTTTGTGCTTGATCCTCAAAAGGTGACTCACTCTAATGACCTTGTGCCAGACTAAAATAAGGATAACAAGATATTTGGGATAGCCTTGTCTACAGATGATGTATGCACCATGTCACTTTAGGACTTGAGCGATTCATGGGTCTTCACAACTTCTTGTTTTTTGTTGCTGTTACTTATTTTCTGTTTTAATGTTTCATGTGTGACAATGTTTCCAGTGCTTTCTTAAGAAAATAATTGTATATAAATGCTGGAAATTTTTATACACATTCAGTAGTTTGGCTGTAAAATGAATTTTATTTATAATGAGTAAAAAGAAAACACAACTATGGCATTAAACTTTTTTAAAGAGATAAATTTAATTTTCAAATTAAAAAAAAATATATTTCTGTAAGCAGTTTATCATGGATACTCTGCTTGAAAAAGGATAAGAAACAAATTGTTTCATTCTTTATTTAAGAAAATGCTTCATTTGTTAAACATGTTTTCAATTTTTTTAGAGATTGTTCTTTCATTGTGTTGATTAAGACTGACGGGGCATTGTGTTCTGATGACCAATAATTTCTTGGGCATAATTAGTCAGAAAAAAATAAATAAACAAACTAAAGAAGTATCTGTCTATATTTTGAGATGAGGTATTATGTACATTATTTACATTATTCGGACTATTGTCCTCATCTTTGTTGCCATATTTATTACGTTTCCATATTTTTGGTATATCGGGTCCATACCAATCCTTCACTATCTGTCTATATTTCTGAGATGAAGTATTATGTATATATTTCTGAGATAAGGTATTATGATATCAGGTCTGTACCGATCCTTCAGTATCTGTCTATATTTCTGAGATGAGGTATTATATTTTATTGGGTCCGTACTAATGTAAATAATGTACATAATACCTCATCTCAGAAATATAGACGGATACTGAAGGATTGGTATGGACCCGATATATTAAAAATATGGAGAAAGGGTTCAGTTCAACATTCCAACTACCTGAAGAAGGCCGGAGTGTACAACAGGCAAAACGTAATAAATATGGCGACAATGATGAGGACAATAGTCTGAATAATGTAAATAATAAACTAAAGAAGATATACAGTTTGATTCTATTGGGAACATTTGGTAAATGAAATGTTCAAGACAATTCCTGGAAGAAAGATGGATGTTAACAAGGTTTTGGGTGCATTTTTTTTTTTAGGTGAAAGTGCATGTTTGATATATAAACAAAGATAGAAGAAGCATACAAAAAAGACTTTAGTTTCTGCTACAGACATTTCTTTTATGTTCACTTTATTGAAACAAAGTTAAATGTCTCTTGAGTAAGTCTGTTTTCCTTTTTTAGTTCAGAAATTATTTTGCTTTGAGTTGTGATGGCTGAATCTCTGCTTCATGAGTAGGGCAACTAAAATCTCGTTGAAAAGTGGAAAGAGAGATTCAGTCCTTTCCAGAAATGGAGTCGTAACATCACACATGTGACCAGAAACCCTTTCTGGTTTCTTTATAACTTGCATCATGGAAAAATGAATTTATTTATCTTTTATTTATTATTTTATTCATGTGATTATTCTATTCCGTAACCTTCCCTAGGTTACAACATTTATCATTTCACCCAAGCAAGGCAATAAAGCCACTAAAACATGAGGAGGTTGCTGAGTTGTGCTTGTTCTGTTCTTGGGCACCAGTAGCGGATTATCTCGGCAAACCTGAGTTTTAAATTACCTGGTGATTGGTTCAGAATCAGCTATCTCTCAGTGATGTAGCTTTCAAATGAGGCTTGACAGATTTGCCATACTGTCAACGGTATGACCTGTCTTCTGGTGCACCCCCTTTGGGACTGTGTTGGTGAATTGACACCTCGTATCACTCCTGAAAAGCTTGTGCTCACTAACTGCACATATGTGCGTGACAATGTGCCCACCTCATTCTGGGATGAAACAGATGCTGTTTTTGATGCTGCTGGCCACAGTTCAAATGGTGATTGGACAACATGAATAGAGGAAATTTTGCAATGTGATAGCTATTATCATCGGGATCTGATCAGATTCTTTCAACATCAGCTCAGGATGAAGATTAGAACTGATAGAAAGTGGTTGGCATTGACAGATTTCAACAAAAGGTGGATAACTGTGGCGAGCTTGGTTTGCCTGAACAAGGCTAGCCTTGATTTTCTTTTTTAAGTCCCCCTAAGTCACAATGGGGCAGTTTCCTGAGGAGCCCTCCCCTGGTTAAGATAGACCATACTTGTGTACTTAGTTAATATGAGTAAGTGTCATTTCTGGCCTGTTCCCGGCTTCTTTTTTTTTCCAAGTTGAGATTCTCAATCTCCCCAGTTTCTTTCGGCCTGCTCTTTTCATCTTGGCTGGGTCAGTTTTTGGATTTTCTAATACCCATAATGCTAGCTCCCATGAAGGGCTCTTGATTGGGTCTTCATCACAATAGGTAAGGAGGAATAAATGCGATAGGCAACAATAAACTACAGAACTCAAAATTGATTGCTGCATTTAAGTATTGCATTGATATTTAAGCTTACCTTTTAAAAGTTCAACAATAATTCTTTTGCTACCAATTAATTTAAAGACAATTAGGTAGGTTCTTACTTTCATGGATGACTTTTGCTGGATTTTGCAATTAATTTTGATTATTCCCAAATTTATTTCCAAGTTATAAAAATTATCATACAAAAAAATTTGTTGCAAAAAAATCACATAAAAAAACAAAAAACCCAAAAACAAGCGCAAAAACTCGGGAATCCAAAATTTCATGATTGCAGGTTTGGATCTGGCCTAGAATGTTTTTGATTTGCTCACAGAATCGGCCTGTTTCTAAAATGGTATGAGATGTTGGGCTACAGCTTCTAGGAGTAAAGTTGAAAAAGGGTGACACACTGACATTCACATTTATTTATATATATGGAACTCTTTTTTTTCCTCACTGCACCCTTGGCTCTTTTGATTGCAATCTGGTCCTCTGTTGGTGGAAATTTCTTTTTTGCAAGGCGTACTGTTGCAGTATACAATAGGCAACATTAAACCACAGAACTCAAAATTGATCACTGCATTTAAGTATTTCACTAATATTTAAATTTACCTTTTAAAAGTCCAATGGTAATTCTTTTGCCACCAATTAAAGACCATTTGATGTATGTAGGTCCTTACTTTCAATAAAAACAAATATTTTTATTTCATGGATGATTTTCACTGGATTTCACAATTAATTTCAATTATTACCAAAAATTTATTTCCAAGTTATAAAAATTATTATCGTACAAAAAAATTTGTTGTAAAAAAAATTGTTGAAAACAATCACAGTAATGAAATCTTGGGATCCAAACTTCAGGATTGCAGGTCTGGATCTGGCCTAGAATGTTTTTAATTTGCTCACAGAATCGGCCTGATTCCAAAATGGTATGATGTGTTAAAGTTGAAAAAGGTGACACACTGACATTTATTATATAGATTGTACTGTGACACCCACCGGTGGTCGCAGCAGTCCAGCGCCAATATGTGACGTCCACTGGTCGCGATGTGTATATGGCGGCCCGTGGTCAACTCCCAGTTGCGGGATTAACGAAGCTGTAAGGTTTCTTCCATCAGCATTTTGAGGTTGACTCGTTGTCGCTGCCACCAGCCTGTGTCCCGGACGATCTGGTCGTTTCTGGTTCGATACCAACTTGTCGTTCCCAGCTCACTTCCAACGTCTGGTTACTGAAGTAACTACTTTGATCTCAAGTCTAACCTACCCATGTTGTGACTTTGATCTTAGGTAGACGAAATCAATCAGGCGTCGGGCATGCAAGCTGAATCCGGAGTAAAGGTGAACCGCACAAGGGTAAGTAAAAAAATAATAAAACAAACTCAAGAGGTTCAAATATGTTGAGAAATAACAATTATCTTTATTATCTGTTGAATACAGGAGTGTGTTTCTCCCAGCCCTTTTCTATGGATTCGTGACATTTTTTGTGTTTCTTAAGCAAGTTATGGTATCTTAAATCGTTCGTCAATAAAAAACTTGCTTTTGGTAGGAAGACTAAGTCGAAAAGGACGTGGAAATCTTTCAGTCAGCTCCTGCGAGGCTGGTCTCCAACTGCAACTCTCAAAACGAACTCTTGAAACTCTGCTGAAAAAACATTGACTAGCTGCCTCGAGACGTTTGTTTATATGGACACCGACCAACTCTGGGTTGGGGCCTGTCATGGTTTGGGTTCTTTGACAATTCTTAATTCGCAACAAAAATTCTCTTTGTTCTTAGGCCAGGAAAATTAGTTACTTCCCATTTTTGGAAGATTAATCACTTTCCAATTTGGGGTTCCTCCCTTGTCCATGAGGGAAGGTCGGAGGAGAGTTATCCTCCTAGACTCTTCCTCTCTCACATATTGCATACCAATCCCCTCAATGGGCGTTAACAACTTCTCCGTCTTTTTCATACATTCACCTCCGCCTTTAACCCATGCCTCTTCTTGACCAATGATCAATGTGGGTGTGACTAGACTGGCCATCTTAATGTTTATTCGAAAATTTTTTTTTTTTCCGTTTTTTTTTTCCTTTTCCTTCGGCCAAAACATTTACAATTCCCATATTGCCATTTAATTCTTTTATCACATCCCAAATCCACTTAGCCCGGACCTCTATCGACTCATTAATCACTGTCAATAAACCCAACATTTGGGTTCTCCGCTGGTCAATCCTTCAACTGGGTGGCCATGCCCACTTGACAATTAAATTCTTTATTTTTCTCATGTTTTAAATTCTCTTATCACCAGATGCTCATTTTCGAGTCAACAGTTGGAATAAGCAATAATAAGGATCCCCTTTTCGGCTCTTTTTTTCTTTTCATGTAAAGATTCGTACATAGACCAGATGGCTTCCCTCGCTGG